TTGAAAGCCTTTAATAATGAAAGAGGTAAACTCTAACAAGTTCGTGGTGGTTGATCGCCGCCTTATAAATCCATGCTGAGTGGGAGATATAAGTGACCTGCAAAGATGCTGCAAATTCGAAGTTATAGCGGATAACTTTGCTATACCTCTATAATTTTTTGCGTCAGACTTGCTACCTTTTTTATGGAGAGGCATTATAAACGATTCTTTTGCCGACTTTGTAACGTGCAACGAGACGTTTTTGGAAAACGGGCGTTACGATTTGAGAGAGCTGGGCACGCTAATAAATATCCGGCTCTAGCTCGTCGGCTTTGGGGGTGGAGTTGTTGCTCCCTCAGATCAACCCAGACTCGAGGCTTCGGTCATTAATAATATTGCCAGAATATAGCGTGCTGCGACTTATTGCTAAAACGGTAGAATTGGCGAAAAGATGGCGAAAGAGGAAGAGGAGATAGGGAACAGGAAAGGAGATGGTAGTGAAAAGAAAGAGGGATAAATAGGAAAGGGGTGTAGGAGCCGAGGAAAACGGAGAGACATCGGGGCCTATGTCCGCAGATTTTATGCGGAGTCTATACCCGCCCTACCTTTGGTCATCATCACGGAATCGTCCGTTCTTCGATGACCCCTTTTGACCTTCTACGAAAACGCGCGAGCTAGCATTGAGTCCATTATTTTCTTTTATCTAAACTTTTTGGCACTTCATTATTTTAAAATTTTCCAACAAAATTATCAAACTAAATTTAATCGTGAAAGTTTGTCAGCTCCTGGCCGGAAAGAGGCATTCTTCAGTTGCACTTTTGTTGGGGTATTGGTATCGTAGGTGGAACGAATGACCAGACAGTGCTCGGAAAAACACACCAAGGGTTCGGACGACCGTCAATGATTTTCTGCCGAACTGGAGGAGGAATACAAGTTCTTAAAAGACAAAATTAAACTAGATATGGCAACATAGGAAATGATCTTAACAGCTACTAAAGATAGGTAATTCGTAGTGGTTATATATAAGGATATTTGATTATATGGCGATGATATATTAAATAAAGTTAATATTCGTGCTTAATTCTAATTGAATTCGTAACCCTTGCATATCGCACAATTATGTTCTAAATCGTTAAATATCTAAATTCGGGTTGAATCAAAACCATCAAATAGTCAACTTGGCTGACAAAACGTGATCTCCTATGTGGAGCACAGCCGATAACCGAATTCCGAAGTCATTTCTGGTTAGCCAATGAGCCGAGCGCCCAAGGTAAAGCACTCAGGCTTAGGCCTCGACAGGCCGGTGTCAGAGATTTACAATTCGTGAGGTTGGGCAAGGATTAGTTTCGATCTTCCGGCGTATGCTGAAAACAAGCGTTAATTCGGAAAGGTGGTCTACAGTACGGAGAATCTATCATGCTACAACTCAGAATTCTCATCCCGACCTACGCTCTTTGCATGTCGAGCCAAAGAATATTTGGGAAATTTTCCTCCGAACAATTCAATCCGAATTTAACTGCTTAAGATGGATTATGAATATTTATAAAGATCGATCGAAGCATGATACGAGTTTAACGAATGTTTAAAGAAGAATTAAAAATAGAGATGTTTAACAATATTCATAACTGCGAATCCTGAATAAGATTTCATGGAATTCCAATGGGAACTTTAAAAGATAATGATTGTTAAGACCTTAAAAGAAAAGTCTAGACATTTGCGAGTTGAGTTGTAAATTAAAACTAAACTTTATTCTTAAAACGAGGGGGAACGTTGTGAGTTGCTGCGGACACCGCAACTCTACAGTTATACCCGATACTAAGTCAGTATGGCTTTCCTCCGGCAGACGCCGCTAATATTAAACGATACGACAAAGAGTGCGTGCGAGAGAGACAGAAAATCAGTCTGAGCGTGATGTCACGCGCTGCGTAGCCACTGCAAATTGATTTGTTCCTTTTGGCTACAAAAATTATCTGATCTGATCCAGATTCAGCAATCTGATAGATATGGTCGTTATCTATGATTCTCCGTTTTTAGTTTTCTCGAATCTGCAATATTGTGGATGCAACAGATTTTCGTCCTTTGTGTGGGCGGAAGGGGGTGGGGCGAAATTTTGAGATACACGTTTTATAGTGAGATCTAAGAGAAGTGCGGATTCCAAATTTGGTTACTCTAGCGTTAATAGTCTTTGAGATTTGTGAATATCCCCAGATTTGCATCCTTTGCGGGGGCGGAAGGGGGTGTGGCGAAATTTTGAAACAAACTCGTCTCGGTCTGATATATTAGGAGTGTGGATACCAAATTTGGTTGCTCTAGCTTTTATAGTCTCTGAGATCTAGGCGCTAATGTTTTACTCTAAGCAAAGCCGCCTATGCTACCTGTGTGTTAGAGAGAGACAGGGCGAGAAAAAATGAAATTGTTTTCTTGATGCTGGCTATAATAGTAATACGATCCAATTCAGATTCTGCAGTCTAAAAGATATGGTCATTCTCTACGATTCTGCGTTTTTTGTTTTCTCGTATCTTTAAAATTGTGGATGCCACAGATTTTCGCCCTTTGTGGGGGCGGAAGTGGGCGGGGCAAAGTTTTGAAATATTTTTGTAGCAGTGACATATCACAGAAGTCTGGATCCAAAACATCGTTGCTCTAGCTCTTATAGTCTTTGAGCATTAGGCGCTGAAGGGGACGGACAGACGGACAGACGGACGGACGGACAGACGGACAGACAGACATGGCTCAATCGACTCGGCTATTGATGCTGATCAAGAATATATATACTTTATGGGGTCGGAAACGATTCCTTCTGGACGTTACACACATCCACTTTTACCACAAATCTAATATACCCCAATACTCATTTTGAGTATCGGGTATAATAAAATCAGAGCCTTATATATGATTTGACAAGGAGGTAGGAGGTACAATTTTGTATTCTATAATCATCGTTAGACCTACGAAAAGGATACATTTTACTGCGGGTGTCTATTTGAGGGCATGCTTACATTAGGGTTATTTTAAGAATGCATTGGTTAAGTGTTTTCCCCACTTGTGTTTTGTTTTAGTATCTTTTAACGGATCCCACTCCAGCCACCGGCAGGCTGCGCTCTGCGGCTTACTTAGCTGGCGACTGAAAGGTGGGGTGCGTTTGAATATCGTGTGTCGCTTCCCCACGCGATAGGCGAAAGACCGTCCGGTCTTTGAAGGTCTTTCCTCCGGGCGGGACCTCTTTCGGGACTCCCTTGGCCCGCCACTCCGCCACTGAGCAACAGAAAATCAGATGAAAACCTGTTCTGCTGACATTTTTTTTCGCACTCACCCAAAATATAGCGATCGAACGAAAGGTAAGTCTTTTCCATACAGTGTCGAATAGGTCCACAACGGAATTTTCCGTGGATGGCACTTTTACAAAGAATTGTTTGCATGCACACAACTGATCTCGACAAGATTTTAACCGGAAAAGGATGTCGAAGCATGTTGGTCAGACATTGCAGCCCCGCGCCTGTTAAATGTTCAAAGCATCTCTGCACCTGTTAAAGGGTCAAAGCATCTCTGCGCCCGTTAAAGGGTTTAACTGAAGCGACGTAGAACGAAGTTCGGGGCCAGGGATACATACAACCCTTTAACGAGAGGCCCCGAGATCGATTTCGTGGTCTTAAATTATTTTAACCGATTAATCTGACCCGCCAAACCTATCGAACTTCGTTCTACGTCGCTTCAGGCCGCTACAACGTATTACAAAATGATAGCGAGGATGGGTGTGCGGACATTCTACGCTTACTGTTTACGAAGCAGTAAAACTGTTTAGGGTCCTGAGAAAAACGTATCCTGCATCGAGATAGGTAGTTCTTATAGCATTGTGCATTAAGAACTGAAAAGTTTGACCGATCTATTACATAGCGAGAGTGAGAAGTAGGAGAACCAACTTCCTGAAATTTGTTATAAAGTCTTGATCTTAAGTTTTTTAGGCTGGATAACTCTTTGGTAAACCAAGGAGGTTTTCCAGATCTAATCGGACAAGAAAGCGGGACACTAGAAAGCTTCGTAAACTCGGCTTTACGAAAGCAACGGACACGTTCAGGTGGCCTACTCGACCGATCCAATATAGTTGGTCCTATATCTAGCGACACTTCGAAGTAGGATGGTAGGCGTCTTCAGGTGTAGTGAGCGGAAGGGCTCGGTTTAACAACACTAAGGTCGGATCCGATACAAAGCACAGATCAAGCAATCGACCCAAGGATCCTGGATCCTACTATGCGATGGAAACATAACTTATGTAGGGATCTAGGGGGTTTTCGCTGTTTTTGCAGCCGCACGCATATCGCATATTTACCGAATTTGGGAACGCTTACCCGCAGAAATTCTCTCCCAAAGTTGCAACTTTTTCTCCCCAAAAGGTACAACTTCACCTGCCTTTTAGTTGATGTTCTTGCAGGGGCTTCCCGACAACCCGCATCAGGGATTTTGGTTTTTAAAAATTTCCACTGTTGCCTTTAATTTTGTATTTCACTTACTATTTTCTTTTTCCATTTTTCTATTTCTTTTCGATTTTATATCCTTTCCCGACGACTGAACTGTTTCGAATGACTGAAATATTTATTTTCTGTTGGCTAAACTTTTTGCTCTAAATTTGTTTGACGTAAAACACTGTGCTGTGTCATCGATTCTAATAATATTGTAGTCGAGTCTGTTAGTTTATTGTTAGGTATTATATTAATATGCTCTGCACACTGAGCCCATCCCGGCGGAACGGCGGGATTTTTTGATGGATGTGAAACTCCGATTCACACTGGCACCATCCACCATTTTCCACCACTCGCCTAGCTTTGGAAAGGTTGTAGTTAAATGTGCGCTGTTCCAAAGAGGCGGCTGTGGAAAACGGGTAAGGTTTCATCAGCTTTTTAGAAAACCTAAATGCCGAGTCCCCTATAAGCATTACAGGGACGTTTACTCCGCTTATTTCCTTGGCTTTCTCTACCATAAATTCTTCCTCTCTTCACGAATCTTCAGCTGCTGGTGCGTCTGGCATGCAATTCCTTGAACCCAAGCCAAAGTCACATAAATGGGCCATACTCTACGGCAAGATTAACTACCTGTATGTGGACGAGCTTCAGAAGATGGTAAGTTCTTTGCATTGCATTAGAGGATCCTGCCTAATTTTCGTGGCAGGTTATTCAGAAGAGTCGCAAAGTCAATCTGTGCCTGGATGCCAAGGCCGAGAAACTGTACTACAAGGATGAACGTGAACTAGATGCTCATTTCCGCTATTTCAAAAAGAATCAATTAGATGTGGTGTTCGTTATTATACCAAATTTCGGGCATCTTTATGATGTCGTGAAGCAAAAGGCTGAGCTGCAGCACGGCATTCTTACACAATGCATTAAGCGGATCACAGTCGAGCGCAAATGTAACGCGCAGGTTATTGGCAGCATTCTACTTAAGGTTAATTCAAAACTGAACGGCACCAATCACAAGCTACGGGATGACCTACACTGTCTGCCAAAGAAGACCATGTTTTTGGGTGCCGATGTGACTCATCCGTCGCCCGATCAGCGAGAGATCCCCAGTGTGGTGGGTGTTGCCGCCTCCCATGATCCATTCGGGGCTTCATATAACATGCAATATCGCTTGCAACGCTCTGCCCTGGAGGAGATCGAGGACATGGAGTCGATAACCCTTGAGCACTTGCGTGTCTATCATAATTTCCAACAATGCTACCCAGACCACATTATCTATTATCGTGATGGCGTAAGCGATGGCCAGTTTCCCAACATCAAGAATAAAGAGTTGAGGGGAATTTCTGCCGCCTGCAGCAAGGTAAGTTGAGCTCTTGCATCCAGAAACCTTTTAATTTTATATCACTAATCGTCCTTCGCCTCCTTTCAGCTGCACATTAAGCCCAAGATTTGCTGCTTCATTGTAGTTAAGCGGCATCATACACGCTTCTTTCCGAACGGAGTTCCATCGCAATACAACAAGTTCAACAACGTTGTTACGGGAACCGTCGTCGATCGCACCATTGTCCATCCCAATGAGATGCAGTTCTTCATGGTCAGCCATCAGTCGATTCAGGGGACGGCCAAGCCGACGCGTTACAACGTAATCGAGAATACGGGCAACTTGGATATTGATGTACTGCAGAAATTGACATACAATCTTTGTCACATGTTTCCTCGTTGCAACCGCGCAGTGTCTTATCCGGCTCCGGCATATTTGGCACATTTGGCTGCGGCACGTGGACGTGTCTACCTTACTGGGTGCGATATTATTATTATTATTGTTTCATATTTTCGTTCTGATAATGTCATTGTTTGAGATGCCAAGCTTTTTTGGCACCTATGTATTTCAAAATAAAAAGAGATTTTTGGTTAAACTTTATAATTCGTATTTAATCTTGGTGGCTTAGCGGAAGCCGATTGCTTGCTATTGCCAGATAAACTTTATGCGAGATCGATATGCAACCAATGCGCAGAGGGGTTAGCATAGAACTAAACTATAGACGACGGCGTTAGATCAAAGTGACTGCCGAAGTGGCGGCAGCAGATCAAAGTAATTGCCGAAGTGGCGGCGGCAGAGAGCCCCCTTTAGCGGGAGAGCGCAGCAGCTCTGCAGAAAGTCAACGTTTTACAACATATGTAGGCGGCTCTCTATGCTCATAAATAATAATGTTAAAGTTACGGTTATTCTTCAGCGGCTGGCCCGAACATACTCCCCCCGTTGGGAGCTAGTCTCTCAACAGATTCCTTAAGGGGCAGCAAACATAGCCGAGTGACGGCCCTCCTGATGTTTCCTGAGGATGTCTTCAGGTCAGCGACGCGACACACTCCGTCCTTGCCCAAAACGACATCGACCACTCTAGCCAGTGGCCAACGCATTGGAGGAAGATTTTCGTCCTTCACCAGAACGAGGTCGTGCAGATGTTTTGCGCGGGGGTACGCCTCTTCGCGCGCTCTTGCAAAAGAGTGAGATACTCTTCGCGCCAACGGCGCCAAAATATTTGTTGTAGTTGGGTGACCCGCTGCCAGCCATCCAGACGATTGTAGTTCAGCTTCGTTAGGTCAGGCTCGAGGATTTGCTCATGGGGGCCGCCTAAAAGCAGATGAGCAGGAGTCAAAACGTCTAAATCATCAGGATTTTCTGAAAGCGAGAGCAAAGGGCGAGAGTTACCAATTGCAGTGATCTGACAGATCAGAGTGCGCAGCTCGTCGAAGCTAAGCACAGATGGTCCAACTGAGCGGTACAGGTGATATTTTGCGGTCTTCACGGCCGCATCCCACAACCCGCCAAAATGCGGAGAGCGAGGTGGGATGAAACGCCAGTCGATCGAGTCAGCCAAGCAGGATTCGTGGACCTCCTTCATATGCGGTTCGCTCAGACAAAGCTTCTTTAGCTCCAGAAGCTCGTTCTTGGCCCCAACGAAGTTTGTCGCATTGTCCGACCAAATTTGACTTGGCCTTCCTCGAGTGGAAGTAAAACGCTTTAGTGCGCCTAGAAACGATGCAGTGGTCAAATCCTTTACGAGCTCCATGTGTATAGCCTTAGAAGTGAAGCAGATGAATACGCTAATGTAGCACTTGATCGGAGGCCTTGTGCGGATTTCTGATCGGTAGAAAAAAGGTCCACAGTAATCTACTCCAGTGACTTCAAAAGCTCGAGATCCTTCCAAACGTTCCTTAGGTAGGTCTCCCATGATGTGTTCGACCATGCGCGGCCTAGTCCTGAAGCATCTCACACATCTGCTGACGACCCTTGACACTGCCTTAACACCTCCAATGGGCCAATATTCCAGCCGAATTTTGGATAGCAAGGCGCGAGGTCCGGCATGGAGGTTTCTTTCATGGTAATATCTTATCAGCGCAAAGGTAATGGAATATCCCTTTGGCAGAATGAGCGGGTGCTGAGCGTCAAATCCTAGCGATGAGTTGCCAAGACGACCTCCAACTCTAAGTAGTCCAGAATGATCGATGAACGGGTTGAGCGAACTAATAGAACTGGATTTCATGACTTGACCATTGCGCCGAATCTCCTTTATGTCCATCCACAAATTTGCCAGCTGAATGTGTCGAACTAGAAGATGCGTTCCTTGCCGAATATCAGAAACGGTGAGTCCTGGATGCCTAAGACGATGTATTAATTTATGCATGTAGGCGAATGTGCGCTGCATGCGAAAGAATGAATTCGCAAATTTGCATCCGGACGTGAGATCGGCATGTGCAGACGTGATTAGCAATCCTCTCTTGCGAAGCTCCAAAGTTGCTCTGTTGTTAGATGGAGATACAGGCCACTTATCCTTGGAGCCTAGCAAAAAGGATGGGCCGTGAAACCATAGCTCTGACTGGATAAGATGGTTGGGAAGCGAGCCTCTCGAGAGAATATCAGCAGGATTTAAAGATGTGGGAACATAGCGCCATTCCATGGCTGCCGTCAACTCCTGAATTGAGGCCACTCGATTTGCCACGAAAACTTGAAATTTAGCTGGCTCGTCCCTAATCCAAGATAATGCTGTTGACGAATCCGACCAGCAATAGAACCGACCTGTAAAGATTCCCATGTCCTTTACATTCTGCATGATTTTCGCAAGCAAATGGGCTCCACTTAATTTCAGCTTAGGAATCGATATAGTCTTTAGCGGCGCCACTCGCGACTTTGTCCACTCCCTGGACACGACATACACGCAAGCGCCATATGCTTCTAAGCTGGCATCACAGAATCCGTGAACTTCTGTAGCCACACTAGAACGAAGAACCAAGCGAGGAAATGAGATCCGAGAAATGCTTGCCAAACTATTTCTCAAGTCCATCCAAGTTGAATGCAACGCTGAGGGTAGGCTTTCATCCCAATCCAAATTTTCTCTCCAAAGCTGCTGAAGGAAGATTTTGCACCTGACAATGACTGGATTTATCAATCCAAGAGGGTCGTAGAACCGCGCAATCGTAGATAAAACCGACCGCTTTGATGGCTTTGAGGTTGTGTCCAGTGCGGACAAGGCAAAAAGCAGCTGATCCGAAGCAGGGTCCCACGCTAAGCCGAGAGTTTTGGCTATGTCGCTTCCATCATTAAACTTTAGGAACTTCTCTATGTCATCTTCAGGGGTTCCCTCAAGTACTTCCTGGTGACTGGAGCACCATTTCCTAAGTCTAAAGTTACCACGGGACAATAAAGCTGATGTTTGGTGCATCTTGTCCATGACCTGCCGCAGAGCAGCTGAGCCAAGAGGGTAGGACTCACCCTCGTCGATGGCCAGCTGGTGCATTGCGCGGACCGCTAAAAATGATGCAGCCCTCGTCCCGTATGTGACGGTGTCTAATGTGTAGACTTGAACCTCGGACTCGATGGAATCTCGCCATAGGATGCATTGATACAAATTGTCGGGTGGAGACACTCGTACGCAGCGGTACATTTTACAAATGTCCCCAGTGAGAGCGACTGGATATGTTCGAAAGCGAATCAATATGTTAAACAATGCAGGCTGAATAACAGGGCCTGTCATCATCACATCATTTAGAGAATATCCAGTTGATGTAGCTGCGGATCCATCGAAAACGACACCGAGTTTTGTCGTCGTACTGTCCTCCTTTAGGACACAGTGATGAGGCAAGAAATATTTGCAGAGGCTACGGGAATCAGGGTTGACTTGGTGCATATGATGCAAATCAATGTACTCCCTCATAAAGGCGGAATACCGCTCCTTGAGTGTAGGATTACTCTCCAGTTTTCGCTCCAGACTGATGAACCGTCGATAAGCCTGAGCGTAAGATTCTCCTAAACGATGAGTATTGTTATTTAGCGGCAGACGAACTGCATACTCCCCGGATGGCAACCGTGAAAGGTGGCTTACGAAATGTGCTTCACATTCGTCTTCTTCTTTGGTATTCAACCCAGCCTCCACACAATTCTCGACTTCCCAAAACATACGAAGAGTTTTATCCAACCTTGCTTCCATCTCAGCTATCGAATCTGGACAATTGTGCGTGGCCAAAAGCGCCGAGCTTGATACCTTCTGTCCACCACCAGATACGATCCACCCAAGCCGGGTCTTCTGCAGAAGAGGCAGTCCATCGGTGAGTTTGATTTGCCCTACGCAGAGGAGATCATAAAAAACGCTCGCACCAATGAGAAGATCAACCCGTTGAGGATTGAAAAATGCAGGATCAGCGAGCTGAATGTTAGATGGAATACGCCAATCGGATACATTTACTGTCATACTTGGTTGAGAATCGGTAATCGTGGGGGCGATGAGAGCAGTAAGCGTAGTTGTGTAAGCAGAGGTGCGAGAATGCATACAAATGCTTATGGTGGATCCCTCAGTAGAAACGCTGGTATCGCCCAGCCCAGACACAAGTGCAGACGATTGAGTTCTCCTAAGCTGAAGCTGCTGGGTGAACCTGGATGTGACGAGATGCAGCTGCGATCCTGAATCTAAGATGGCACGACAAGGAACTAAAACGCCAGACCGATTCTTCACGAGAACCACGGCTGTAGCCAGAAGCACGACATCAGAGTGAAGACCTTGGGCAGCAAGAGAGGTAGACGAAGGTAGAGACGAGCTGCTAGCAGAATTTTGAGCAACGGAAAGAGTGTCCGGTTGAACGGCCAGATCGGGAGGAGCCTTGTGTTGTGGGCTGTATACTATCGAAGTGCAACATACTATGATGCCTACCGCCGCATACTCGACATTTTCCACTATTGCATGCGCGGGTCCTGTGCCCCGGTTTTAGGCAATTGAAGCATAGGGAAAGCTTCTTCACTTCTTTGTGGCGCAGCAACGGTGAGAGATTTCCGAATATCTTGCACGAGTATATTCCATGGCCCGCTGAGTGGCAAAAGACGCATACAGACGGGTCGGCGGAAGAGTTGGAAGCTACAAACGTTTTCTTAACCTGCGTATAGGAATGGTTTTTTCCCACCTGATCGCTACTAACGTGTGTCGCTGTAGCATATTCCAATCGCTCCATTTTCTGGCACCGTTGCTGCAAGAATTCGAAGAATTCCTCTGCGGTAGGTATAGCATCCGACGATGTGTGCTCCTCCCATTTGGTTTGCGTCTTCGAATCCAACTTCTGCAGCAGCATGTTGATGACCATGAATCCTGAAACCTCCTCAGCAGTTCCCAATGTCTGCAACGCTCGCATGTGTAAATTGACTGCATCCGAAAACTCCCGAAGCCTTTTAGCAGAAGGCGAGTCTACCCTCTTTAGCCCAAGAATCTTCTTGATGTGTGCCTGGAAAACAAGTCTTTTGTTATTAAAGCGTTTAT